GTATAGCTTAAATGAGTGGCAGCTTTGCTTTTGACTACAGTGAGTTTTGGATTGATCCTGTAATTATTATAATTAGAGAGGAATTTGATCTTTTTTTCCTTCCCCCCCCTCCACCCCCGACCACAAATGATTCCACATATGGGATATTTGGTCTTGAGCAGCTGTCACTGTTTAAAGGTTCAAGTAGTCTTATAGCAAGAACTATAAAAGGGAAGTGGTATAAATAGACTAAAATTAATAGAGGAACAAAACAGAGTTAGTTCCCACTTCAATTGCCTCTACAGTTCTTTTAATTTTTGCATTTTTTACAGTGTATTTAGCTGCAGTTTCGCTTAYTAAAAGTGTCAGTGGCATTTTTTTGCAGTGGTAGTTGTGAAAGACAAAGTTTTCCCATCGCTTTACAGAGTCACTGCTGAACATGACCAGTGTCTGGTACAAATTTGAAGTAGAGCAATTTAAGTCTTTGCCTTTATCATCCAAATGAGGATGATATTAAATTATTACAGGATTATRGGTTACTGGGGAAGGGAATAATGCATGTTTTGGTAGGAAAAAGAAGTGGAGGTTTTTAGAGGATGCATGAATGGGCTGTAATTTGTGTGTATCTGTAGTGTGAGATGAGGCCAGGCTTAAATCATAATGATGCAACACRACTTGGCCAAGCTCTTTGGCTTTGTTTGTGGAGCTGAATTGCAAGTTCTTCAGACAGATTCCCAAAAACATGAGAAAAGTTGCATAAACTTCTCCTCGAGGTTAATGTGACCTGAAGGAAGAATGCAGCAGTAAACTGAGAGTGTTGTTCCCATTTTTGGCCAATCTTTGACCCACCTGCAGAGAATGGTGCCAAAGCCAGCCTGAGGAGCTGCCATTCTTCAGTTTTTTACTTAGATATAGATATTACAGTCCAGAGGAACAGAATATGCTCATTGGGTCCCTCCTAGATTCGTCATACCTCAGCCATGCTGTTCCGTGTCCTTCCTGTTGATCTCTCTCAGCTGGCAATTTGTGGTTTAAGAAGTTCCTGGGACAGGGTTTATCTCATGGTCAGTAGCCACTGCTTAGTCAGTTCTCCATTAACACCCAGTCCTGTATAAAGCCATTTATACTTTGGCCTCCATTTTTGCAATGCACTCCAAGTTATAACTGTGCGTTCTGTGAAAAGATGTTAAAGATGTTTGCATCTGTAGGTTTTAAACCTCTGGCCTTAAAATGTTTGCAAGTATCCTTTGGGTCTTGGCTGGGAAAGGATGAAAAATCCTTTCTCACTCATACAGCTCATGTGGTTTTATGATTGTACAGATCTTGCTCGTATTTTCCTTTTCATTCATTCCTTCCCAGACTTAGAAATATTAAGCCAGGCAGCCTCTTTCCCTTTACAACTATGTTTCATGCCTTTCATCACCTTTGTCATCTTTTTCTGCGCCTTTCCTTGTTCTATTCTGCATTTTTTTTTGAGATGGAGGGAGCAGCAGTCTTRCACACAATAAATGGTATGAGTGTGTCATTTATACAGTGCCTGAGTGACAGTTTTGGCATTGCTGTCAGTTGTTTCGAACAATTACCAATACYCTATTTGTCTTTTTGATTGATGGGGATATGCATTTTTTTATCAGTGGGTTTTCCACCACTACACTAAAATCTTCTAGATTAGTAAGATTGCTTGTAACCTGTTCAACCTGTAATTTACCCTAAGCCAGACTGCACTGCCTCATCCTCTTTATTTTCTATTTGTTGCCACTGCAGTCTCCCACCAGAGATGTCTCTGCTGCTCAGGCACATCGGGAGATCTGTTCACTCTTCTCAGCAGGTTCTTGGAACACCTCTGTGTCATGGGTCAGCTGCTCAGGGAACCATCCAGCTTGGCAGGAAGCCCTGGGAAAAGCTCAGCCTCCCTGAGCACTGGAGGGCACAGAATGAATCACTGCCTTGCCTGGAGCCTGATCCCCAAGGTTTTGCTGGGGAAGGGAAGAGAAACCCACGCTCCTGCAGACCTGCCTGGCACCCAGAGCTGTGCACAGAGGATCAGTGCAGCCAGCACCAGATGGAGCTGCTGCATTCAGCCTTGCAAGGTCATCGCGTGCAGGGATGTTTTGCTTCTTGGAAGAAAGTACTGAACTGGGGATGTTTTTGCACTGCGTGGATGTCTGGAGAGTAGGCAGGGTATGTTCTGACTTCATGTCACTGCTCAGTTCTCTTTGAGAACAGGACATTTGGGCTTTGGCTGAGAGTTCAGAATAGGGGTGTGTTCAGATGCTGTTTGAGATGATCTGTTCCAGGCTGGTTTGAGTGGATAAACAAAATTAATTAGATTCACATCATATGAGTCCCCAGGATTGATTTTTTCCTCCAGCAGGAAACTGGCTCGCAATGCTGCTCACCAGAAATACTCACAACTACAGCTCACCTGCTTTTTTTCCACGAGTTTTACAACACTTGCTGGTTTTTTTTTAAGTCTGGGTAGAGGAATCATGTTATCACATGAGATTCCAATGAGATTCAGTATAAAAGAAGTTCTTGAAGCCCTCATTCTAATTGCTATTATAGATGAAACTCCAGCATGGCAAAGTACTTCACCTTGTGWGATTAAGCAGAGGGAATGGCACTGTCTGAGCCTTTAACCAGCAGATTTTTTTTGTCTTCTCCCTGTTTCTGCCAGTAAATACGTGAGCCAACCATTACTTCTAACAAGTTGCTTTGGAAGGCTTCCATCCCTGCTTCCTTAGAAAACGGAGGCAAAGGTAAAGAAAAAAATCTGGCAGTGTTATGGAAGTTTGTGACAATTGTAACTCATGTTTATCTGTTAACTGTAGTCACCTACCACCAAATGTTCTTCACTGCTATGGCACCGAACCCTTTGAAGGGCTCTTAACCAAGTAAGATCTACATTTGATGATTTGGAATTTAGACAGTGAGTGYTCCAGTCTTTCTAAGGCCTTCAGGCTTATCCTTTTGGGCACTATGCTGGGTGCTTTAAAGTTTAGCCTGCCTTTAAACCTCATCTGCAGCCATGAGTGAGTCTTGGTGAAGTCTTCTAAGAACTCTGAGTTGCCCATGATGGTCAGCGTGGATTCTGCCCTGGCTCCAAGGGACAGCTCTTAACTGGGAAGGACAGAAGTGGTGAAAGTACAAAATGACAAATACCAATGCTCTTGAAACAGTAAATTAGGGGCTTTTTTATTTTATGGTGTCACAAAAGAAGAACAGAGGTGAACTCAGACAYGAAAGCAGTAGCAGACACACAGCTGATAAAAAKAAATATTTATTTCYGACCAGCTCGCTGCTGTGGGATACWGGAATYCAAGATGATATYAAGRTTAAARCCAGGGRAAATAGAACTACTCAGAATGATCACAGCTAATGGTAAAATGCATTTCAGAAGGAACATCAACACAAAAATCCTAAATCTTCAAGTCTTTTACGAGAAGAGAGTACTTTGTGTTTACTTGGTTTTAACCTGCAGTTAAAAGATCTGGAGCTGGTCAAYCAGCCCTGGAAACAAAATCTCAGAACGTGGGGTGGCAATTTCTAAGACTGTTCCTCCTCAGGATGAGCTGTCCTAAACAAACTCACAAAAATCTTAAACATTTCTCCAGCTAAGAGTGACAGATCAAGGAACTTAAAAGCCTTGAAAGGAGACCTGTCAAAAGTCTGAGTCTACAAGTTTTTCTGGCAGAACAGTTGCTTCCATGTGAGCAGTGATCACATTACTGAACCTGTTCCACCTGCTCTCTCCAGAGGCAACCTGTTYTGTCTGAGGCTTCGAAGGAGCCTTGGCTTGGTGCTCCTGCAAAACTTGGCGCTCTAGAAGAAGAAAACAATGTGGAAAAGGAGGTAGGGGAGGAAAGGGAGTGGGGGAAAAACAGAGCAGTCTGTTAAGAAATGTGACGGATGGAAGAGCTGAGGTGAGAGGAGTGGTCTAGGAAAGAAATAATGAAAGAAAAACACCAAAAAAAGGCCACAAGCTCTCATCTAGAGTCGGTACTATCCAGCTGTGGTGGGGTCACTCTAAGGACCGCATCTCAGAGAGCGCAACCCAATTCAGATGACGTCGGCTGAACAATGCCACCCGGAAAGCAGGATTTCATTGTTCCCTACCCAGTTCACACCACTTCGCCGTGAAACCTGCAAAGYAATTAAAACTAATTAAACCCCGACTTTATTAAGTGCGATCAAACCCCCGAAGAAATCCACCCAAAAAAACAACCCGGCACGCCAACTGCCAAGCACATTAATCAGCCGCAATTAACCSCCGAACGGCGGAGTTGTTACAACACGGCAAAGCCATCACATCCTTGTGTTCTCGGCGCACTTCACCCGGCTGAGCGGTGCGGGAAGGCGCCGGCTGCCAAGGACGAGGTGCGGGCGGCGGAGGCAGCGCTGCTCTGGGTCGCTCCTCTCCCGCAGGACCGAGCGGGTGCAGCCGCAGCCCTTCCCGGGAGGAGCTGAGCAGGGCTCGGAGCC